GTTAATATATCTACTTAAGAAGCCAAATAAACCTATATTCGGCAATCAATTTACTTTTATATGATGATCATTACCGGTCTATTAATAACCCCACTGCTGGGACTCAGGCCTTCGCTATGAATCTAATCAAAGCCGTAGCATTTCCTTCTAATGGTAAGTGTTTATATAACATACCATATATAAGTAACGCTACCGACCGTGTTACTAAGTAGTGGACAGATTTTAATTATAGTGTAATCAAATCTAACCTGTAAGATTTGATTACACATAAAATAAAACGAAATAAAAACTTGTACAAAATAAGGGTATTCTGTTACTCCTGTATTATCACTTATTTAGTTTTGAAATTAAATAATCAATTCTAATATTATAATGAAGACGAAAGATTTGATTGTTTCTTAATAGACTCTGTAACTAACTGATTGATTTTTAAAGTTCTTTCACTTACGGGAAGATAGAAGATAGATACGTGAGTGATATAGGTAGTTTACTCGGGCGTAGTTTCGACAGTAAGCAGGTAATAAAAAAACATTGTTGTTTTAAATTTAGAGATATAGATTTGGGTTTGATACAACTTTCAATTTGTTTTGAAAATGCGTCTCTTACAATGTTAAATAATATAATTACGATTAACGTAATGAAACATTAGATATAACCCACATTATATGTTCAGACGCAAATTGTTTTTGTTATTAACCAAATTTCGTAAACTTTTTCAAACTGATGTATCAGTCAAACACAAAAACTATGAAGCAAAATTTACCGTTTTTAAATCTGTATAATATTAATGTATTTGAATCAGTACCAATTCAGTGACAATTTCAAAATACACTCAACAACCATCGCGCATGCCTACCAATTAATTATAACTGTTTACTGATATTAACCGAGCAAACATTTACACGACACGTTATTGGACCGTTTTATGGCAACCATATTTTATATGATGTATGATGTGGTGATTTTAACTTTATCGTTGGCACTTTTGATCTGCGATTTCTGATATTAGGCAACGTTTGCAATGGCCGGTTATCAGATGGGTAACCATGTATCAGCTCAATCGCAAAGTTGAGTCATCGTCAGCTGCTGGCCCAATGCGGATTGGAGGGTAGGTTAGGTTAAGTATTAATTTCTAAATAAATTTATAACTTTAATAAGATGATTGCCTGAACATTGATGAAAATACACTCACTAAGGGTAGCGAAATAACAAACGTTATAATTTTTTAAGAATTGAAGTTTAATTTAAAATATAATATCTTAAAATATTTATTTTTATTTAATCTTCAATCTACTTATAATTGGAATAGACTTTTAATATTATAAAATGCAATTATAAAATATGGTTTTTATTTAAACAAATTAATTTATTCACAGAACAGAACTAAGAACTAAAAGATAAGATAAATGTCACTTGTCCAGGAACGGATGTTGCATTGGCAAATAAGAAATACTGATTTGATTAGTCTTGCTATAAGTCAGTTGCTAGTTTTAGGATCGTTTCTATACCAGGTAGGCCAATTACGCTTCAACAAGGTAGTTGAAGTACCCTGGTGTAAGGCTCAAGGTGTATTTCCCCTACGCTTTAAATAAAATGTAGTGAATAAAATAACATCGCCAATAGTTCAACAGTTCATTAATCATATTGCGACTCGAATAGTCACGTACAAACCGGAGCTTTTACATTTCAATAATTCTCCAACTCGAATACACCTGTACAGATGATTATTGGAAAAAAACTCCTTCGATTTTCTAACATTGAGAATATAATTATATTTCTCAATGCTATTCGCATAGACAGCTGGGCTCAGGCCCTATAGATGGAATCGAATCAATTATTAGGGAAAATAGACCATTATTCACTACTATTGGTGGGTATTAAAGACTGCAGATGAGATTCAGAGGAGCTCGTTATAATAAGTTTTTGGTCACCCATCCTATGACCGTATGAAAATTGCTTAACAAAGGTATATTAGACCAAGCGCAGTAACCACTACACCATCGAACTCTGGTTCTATTGTAGAAAGAATTAAAGCACTTGGAGGCTCGTTAAAAACTTATTATTATTACAAAACAATTTTTTAACACTATTGACTTTTCCAATAAGAACACACTTCGAATCAATATTCCATTTTAGCATTTTAGAGATTATATTCAATGATCGGTAACTTGAAATTCGAACCCATAATGTTTCACTTACAATTTTAATATATATTTTATTATTTTTATTAGATTAATTATTTCTATATTATTTGCAAAAATATATATAATTTAATGATGCATTATGCAGCGTTGGGTAAAGAAGAATATAACAACATAGGACAATAATTGTGCACAATAACATATTTCTCCTTTATATGAACGAACAATTAGAAATACTACACATATTTAGCTGGAATTTAGCACACTAATGGTTGTAATTACAAAGAGGGATGTCATGAACGGATTTTAAAAAATCCAAGCTAAGAGTTTAAATTAGTTTAATTACCATGTAATTAACGCGGGCGTCACCGCGAGCGCAGAGCAAATTTTCTATAAGACTTGCTATTTTTCTGCATATATATCATAGGTATGATCTAGTTTCCTATAGCTGAAAGAATTTTAAAATTAAACCAATAATTTCGAAGCCTATTTAATGCAACCAAACAAATAATCAAACCTTTTCTTTTTATTTTATTAGTATAGATATATTGACCATATATTATTGTAAGAGTAGCTCAATAGCACATTCAATTAGTGTGATCGGCTTGCAGACACATTTTTTCCATATGTTCGAAACAACGAAGCATACGCTTGTTTACTTTTACACCGACACTATCTTTCTTATCTCTTTATTACCAATGCAGTCTGAGAGCGTGAACGTTAATGAAAATATTATTTATATTTTACAAAGTTATAATTCAGTAGATCAACAACAAACGTTTTAAGATTTGTATCTACCGCACCAAAAACAAGCTAACTAAAGTGCACAAAACACCAAGACCTTTTAAAAATAATTACGGAAATCCATAAACATTTAATGACTTTGAAATCAAAGAGGCGGAAAGCAATAAAATCATTCCGGACTATAAAATTAATTAGATGGATTATAAACAAAGTTGATTTATCATTCTAGTTTGCGTATAGTCAAACAACATCTTTACGTCACCGCTCTGGAAAAACTTTTAGTCATATGTAGTAACAGTTTCGATTCGTGTTAATGGAAATTAAGTAGGTACAACTACTAACTTATTTTTTTTATAAAATAGAAAAATCTTACGAACTCCACAGTTTTAGATGAAGAAAACGAAAATCGACCGCATTACCTTACATAATCCGGATAACTGAACCGTGAACTGTATGAACCGTAAGGGAGACTTTTTTTTGAGGTATGAGTGTCTTGGTGACTTAAGCCCTGGTTCTGTCTCCCTGGAGAGGGTGAACAGTAGAAATTCTGATGGTTAGACCCCCCGAGACCCACTGAGCTGACAGACTGTACTCTTTGCTAGATGGGTCCGTGCAGAAAAGTCATACACACCCCTTGTTACTTGCCGTGTAACAGAAATACGGCCGGTTTCTGAATTGAGGAAAGCACAAAATCTCAACTGATCATTCTCAATAACTTAAGTTTGTTACGTTTTATATGGCAATAAGTCATAATTTTATCGAATTGCTATCAACTGATAAATAAAAAATTATTAATCAGTAATGAAAACCTGTTTAAATGACGTTTAAAATGAAGCACGGTTTAAGATGTGCTCAACTTCAAATTCTCAATTCAGAAACCAGCTGATAGTGTCTAACGCATTTCTAAAGCGTGAAAAAAGGAAACTATTTAATTTGATACCATTACTTCTATATCAGCTTGGAAATAAATATGAATTTAAATAATATCAACATTAGATGTTTATTTATACCCAAAACTTTCCGAACGCTTTGATTGATCTATAGATAAAAAGAAACATAGTTTGATACTATATTATTTTAGCAGCCTTTACTTTCTCGAGGATAGAATTTATTTAAATAAATAAATTATAATATTACATAGATATTAATATATCTAGTATCTAGATATTAATATATTGAGTAATCTCAAGCCAAAAACAGCAATAAATGTATTACCTATATTAAAAAGTTAATGAAATTTTCAGGATGACTGTAAAATTCAGCAGAACTTGTTAACAAAACATAAACTCAATCAAAACAACATTTCTCAGATCAACAGAAGACTAAACAATATTAATTTTACGACTCGTATTACGGACGTCTTGTATCCGTGTCTGAGATCCGTAAACAATCATAAACTGCTAAAAAGTACTTTATATTACTCGAACCATTTCATTCACAGAATAAATATACATATTTAAACTAATTCTTGATTGTTACCAACTGAATATTATTTTAGTAGTAGGCGTAAATTCATTTTACTAACTCTAGTCAATTAAATCCTCGTAATCGCTAAATAATTTCGACAATTACCGGCACTTCAACAATACTATATACATCTAATTTTAATCGGTTTAAACACAATATTATCAAAATGAAATCAATAAGATCTGTTCTATTACAGGTTGCGCGGACAACAGAGTTTAAATGGGACGAAGACAGCAGAACAAGCTAGAGCTCCTCACTCTACGAGCAAATACACGCGGAGAACGACAGTGTTTGCGTACACCTTATCACTTGATAAGTTAGAACACAAGCCGAAATCAAACAACCTTATCATGCTCACATTCTCAAAGACAAAACACTCTGCAGTCTCCTCTAAGAGAGGCGCGCGGTACCCAATGGGAATGAACTGTGATTGGTGAAAGTGTCTAGACAAATGTAGTGTAAGTGCAATAAAGCCAAAGAACAAACCAAAGCTTCGAGCTCAAATTTCTAGTCTTGGAAGTTAGAACAGTTGGCAAGCTGGAGGACCTACATACTTTAGAAGGTACCGAGAGCGTTGCTGCCAATGTCAGCGTGGAGGTGGAAGAATGCCTGGCGAAGAACTTCAATGTGACAGAGGATTACTGCCCCGCGTATCACGATGGCCTCCTCTGTTGGGACAGGACTCCGTGGAATACGCTGGCGGTGCAGAAGTGTTTCAGCGTGTTCCATGGAGTGCAGTATGATGACACACGTAAGTGTTGAATTTAATTTAGTTTTAGATTGATAATCATCTTGAATTTCACATAAATAACTAAATTTACATCTGAGTAAATCAAAAATTGATTTTCTATGTGTTGTTTAAAGCTTTCATGGTTATTTACATTAGAATGATAGATTGCTATTTGTTTTTATTGAGTTAATCCATGATCATGGCGCTTTCAACAATGCCTAAATGTCGGTAATCTCATCGGTAAACTCAATAAAAACAAGGTACACATAGTATCAGTCCATTAGAAAACTTTTATTCTAATTAATTTTCTATATATAAATAATCGATCTAAAAATTAATACAAAGAAATAGGTATTTTATTGTTTCCACAATAAAATAAATCTATTTATTATTCCACTATAATGACATAAATCCATTAATTACTCCCATTTTCAAGTAAAACATTGTTAAAAAGGTTTCTACGTACATCAACATTTGTCAATCGCATAAAAGTCACATCGAAAATGCCACCAAAAGGTCTCGACAACTAAAATAATAGATTAATATAACAAACACAAAATTACTATGTATGGATGAATTTGAACGTTTTTGTTTATTGATAATAATAAATCATTTTTTCGATATTAACATACATATTGCTCCATTTGTAGGCTATTTGCAACTTATTTATTTTTACAATATTTATGAGGGCAAACATTACACCCAGGGCGCTTAATCTCCAAAAATTGTGTAATGGAAAAGGAAATCACGAATCAACCGTTCGAGGTTAGACAGAAAATTAAATTTAGTATGAATGAGAATGAAATCTTTCAGAGATTTAACTGTAATATTATTCGTCAACAACATAAACATTAACTAGATATGATACTAGAAACGACTACCTTGAACAAACTTTGAAAGAGAAATGATTCATAGCACTAAAATATGGCAAACTAAAAGGTAAAGTCTGTCTCACGAAAGAACTCCCGCGGCATAACTCTTATTCCTTTGCAATTAAAGCGAAAACGTTGTGATCCGAGGGACTTCTTTCGTGACACGAACTCTATATACATTTCATTACGATGCCATGTCAAATTGACAACCTCAATGACTGAGTGACTCCAATGCCTGGACTCCAATGGATTTGACGCGGGCTAACGTAGAAAATGAACTTTTCTATATTGTCTCGAGTGTGAATGTTACCTTCTTTGTTTCAGATTTGCTTATTGCTACTTAATTTGAGCAATGTATGTGATATTGTCTTATCTGTATTCATTTATAGATGACTCAATATTTTCGTATCAGGTGATCAGCTTACCGTTTAAGGGGGTCCTAAACTTATTTCATCTCCTGCCTACTTTGACAATAAATTATTTTTTTTGCGCCTCCACTATTTAAACTACTTAAGACCACTATAAACTAAATCGATTATTTTTAATTTACCACTTCAAATTCAATTAATTATTGGGAAATATATTAGCGGATATTAAACATGAATACTAAACGAGATTTATACTATAACCCGCAAGAGTTGACTCAAGACCTGAGCACAGTAGGTAGTACATGAGTCTCAAGTTAACTCTTCCTAAGCCTCTACATGATGCCCCTTTTTGCTGGGTCTCTTACCGCTCCCCTTTAGGTTTGCGGCACCGACCAAGGGGCGTTATCGCCCACTTTGGGAAAAGCTTATTTAAGCCTTCTCTGGACTACGCCAAACATTACAAAACCGGCCCGGCTGTTCTCGAGTTTTATGGAGACAAACGAACAGCAATTATTTATATAGATGACGACGTAGCTAAACTTACCTTCTAAAAACAGCTTAGTAACGGCGCCAGACTTACCTAAAACCCAGTTCAGCGGTGAAACTTAAAAAAATCAACTTTCTGTAACTGGCTTTCGCAAGTCACCGACGTCAATCTAACCTGAAATAATAAATAGACAAGGGTCATTTAATTTAAAGGTGATACTGTCAGTAATAAGGTTACATACGGCAAATTTTTTCTTATCCAAGTGTATATAGAAAAAGAATGACATTTTTAACTTATCATTTGTATTTAGATATAAATGAGAGAAGTAGACTTTAGATAGTAACAGATTATAGATATTGTTACACCGCATGATATATTAAATTATATTTTAAGCCGTAAAGATTGTGAATAGTTTTAAGAGACATTCCTAGAAAATTGTAATTCACAGATTTAAAGAAAAAGTAATTAGTACAGTCATAGAGATTTTTTAATAAAATTACAATAATAGATGGACAGAAGCTATAGGTTATTAATTATTTTCAATTTAAATAATAAATTTTGATTATATTATTTGAATTGAAAATAATAACTATATTTAATTTGTAAAATTATTCAAAAATATCTTTCGTTTTCGTTTAGTGTATTATTAAAAGAAATATTTGTAAGCAATTTTAAAACACATTAGACAACGTACTCTGAGTAGAATTTATCATTAGTACAAATTTAGATATTGTTATCGTCTCGTAGTAAATCTTATCAAAGCAAATAAGAAAATAATTAACTACTCGGTTCATAAAATAGATAATAAATTTATGTAATTGCTAAGCCGTAACTCACCCGCAACTTTGGATACGGAAATTTCGGATATATCATTATGTCATTGTCCTTTTTTTTTGACTATTCAGAGAGTACCCAAGCAAATCGATAGTTATTATTGTGGCTATTTTTCAAATTCACTATTCTATTAATAGCTTTCTAACTTGGCTGTTCATATCGTGACTATTATTCAAAAGAACGGTAATGTTTGACTGTTCTAGTAAGTTATAAGTTCTTAATAACCGTCCCTAAGTCGCCCTAGGTCCTAGGTAAGTCAGTAGTTAGAGCAGTCGCCTGGATTGCTAGGGGTCGTGGGTTCAAGTCCCATCTAAGAGTGTCAGATTTTTTAAATAAAGATCTTTTTCAGTACAGCATTGTGAATGCAAATTGATCAAATATGATAATTGGAATAAATTTTGATTTTTATTGAAAATTTTTAATATTTGTAAAAATATTTCTTTCGGCTGTTTGGGTATATTGTCTGACATTGATGAATATACGCCCTGTAGTAGTAAAAACGTAATAAACCCTTGAAAAAATCATCAGTCCAGTTAGGTCAGCGCAATCCGGGCGACTGCTTTAACCACTGAGCCACCCAGGACCTAACAGAACTGATGAATTTTTCAAGCACTTGTTTCATCTTAGAATGTAAGGGACAAAATGGATGTTTTTTATCATTTTTCATAAATAATATTTTTCAGTTTAGCATTGTGAATTCAAAATTCATATATAATAAATATAATATACTAAATTACTGTACCATTGATTCTAAATATCTATTGCCATCACTACATACATATATATTAATCCAATCTTTAACTAACTTCAAGAACTACCTAACAAACATACTAACTTTTACATTTACGAACAGTTCAGAAACATAACTTATATAAGGATAAGATTCTTAGTTCGAAATTGTACCACGTAATAACATCTGAAATGTTTCCAAATAAAATGTCAAAATGGAAAGCAAAACCACGGCTATTTGATACTCGGTCTGAACGATAGTAATAATATTAAGATCGACCTGGAAACAGAATCTTGAACAACAATAGCATTATGAGCTTCCCTGAAACAACGTAGACCTAAAGACTATATTGTTGGGATTACTTGTCCGTTAAATAATTTTGCCAATACAGTAGAGTCTTTGTCGAACTTTACCATAATATATCTTCAATAAAATAACTTTACCATAATATATCTTCAATAAAATTATTTATATCTTCAATAAAACAATGATCCAATATTGTCGGAAATTAATGACTAACAGTTTGTGAAATATTGTGGTAGCCTGACGTGCAGCCTCAGGTTTAAATATGGAAGATCACTAAAGCGTGTACAGTTTTAAACCAATGTTACAACAACGCTTGGTTTCCAAACCTGGATTGTGATTTGCATCTAAGCAACAGCAACCAACATACTCGCGAATTAAATATGAATCTACACGGTTGCAATCCATCGACAATTGTGAAACAAATTAGAAACACGATTGAAAATCAATTTCTTACCGTCAACTTGGTTGAAACGCAAATTTACTTCTACCGTATGAAATACACCTAAACATTTATATTAATCTGTTTTTTTTTTTAATAATTGTTTAAATATTTCGTCAATGATTTTGATTGTTTTGGTTTCAAGAACTTTATGAATTTTGATAAAATTTTTGTAAACAAAGCTATGATTATTGATTATTCGAAAACTATAATAAACCAAATTTTTTTATGACATGTATAATTTATAAACAAATTCCGTTGCAAAAGAATAGATAGCGCTGATGGAAACTCACGCTCTTCCACAAAATTCGTAAAAGGTCACAAAATTTGGTTTACAATATTTTAATTCCAATCCGTCAACTCGGAGCACATTTTTTGATTTATTATCATATGTCAAATGTTTGATTAATTAAGGAACAATACATATTAACATCTCGTATGTCATAATCTTATGCAACAAGAGTGACTTATACATACTAGATTTCTACCCACACCTTTTTAGACGTGGTCATCGGAATAGTTATTATTAGGTAAATAACGAGTAAAAAAAAGTAATTTTATTGCTAAATTTATAAATGAACAGATTACACGAATCGAGCAAATTAATATAATCTATTATAGACTTTAATCTCGACGCATAATTTAAGAACAATTGCCATGAACGTACCTATTAATGTATCCACGGTTTTGGGACAAACCTTCTCTGTGGATTGAAACAAATTTGGAGAACGGGCCATAACCACCCGGGCTCAGTGCGGATCGATGACTGCAGATGCAGCCGCTACCAACGGCTTAACGTGCCTTTCGAAGCACGGAAGAATTTGAGATAATAAATCTTTGTCCACCCATCTTATTATCGGCTCTTAGAAAGTTAACTTAATTTTCAAAATCCTAAAGCCATATGCTTATTATACATATTTTACAATGGCATTGCTAGAGATTCGTTAAACATTAACTATCTTATTAATAAAACGAGAACTAGTTTCAGTACCAAGTTTAAAGCAATATCCGACCAAATTAAGTCAACGCGTCTCAATTTCATATTTTCTCTTTTGTCAATGTCAATATGCTTTAGGCGGCCAATTACTTAATTTAAACTAAGTACTCGTTTAATAACAACACAGTAAAAGGTTACATAGGAGCTTTTACGTTAGACAAAGATTCTCTTAATAAGCCGGAGCTCACTGGTTCGACTCGAGATGGGCACCTGTGACTGTTTTTTTTACATTAGTTTGTATAAAAAGATAGATATAAAGATTTATCATCACCAGTCTATTAATGTCTCCAATGCCGGGGCTCAGGCCTTCCCTATCGATGGAATCTAATCAAATTAAATGGGCCATCCACCACGCGGGCCCATTGCGGATTGGTGGGTATTAACACTGCATATGCATCCAGGACCAATAGTTTAACGCGCTTTTCAAAGCACTGAGGAATTCGAGATAATAAATTTTTGGTCACCCATCCTATGACCGACTATTGTGAAAGTTACTTAATAACCATATCGCAATGCGCTAGCCATAGCGCCATCGACCTCATCAAATATAAATATTGTGTTCATTAAATTTCACTTAAAATAATATTATTTAATTCTTCCGCAGAAAACGCAACCCGCCTATGCCTGAACGGCGAGTGGCAGAACTATACAAATTATGCAAATTGCACAGAGAGGATAGCCAATGTGTCACCAACTGACGTCACAAGTCTCATCTATCTATCCGGCTACTCGCTCAGTCTTGGTGTATTGTCGCTTGCTGTCTTCGTCTTTTTATATTTTAAGTAAGTATTTACTACTAAGTGCATTTTGAAAACATAAACAATTTATTACCGTAGCTCTACAATTCGACCCTAATGTATACAGGCTAAATTATTTAGAGCGGTCAGTATGGCAAACATAGCCTATGTAACCCGCTTATGATGTAGCTTCCCGTAGATGAAAGAATTTTAAAATCAACCCAATAGTTTCAGACTCTATTCGTTAGTTCTCTCTTTATAATATTTATTATAGTTATCGATTACATTTGAAAACAAAACTCATAGATTGCAATAGGTTTATAGTTATTATATTTTTACTACCTGAGAATATATCCATTTCATTAATTTCATGATATCCCCAAATAGAAGGCCGTAGAAAAATACAGAATATTTTTTCTCCCTAACAAAAGCTTTCAACAAACACTTAGTTATATTAATAATTTTAGTAAGAACATGGTATAAATCAATATGTCTATAAGTTTTCAAATTAAATAATTAAACACATAATATAAACAAAACTACATAGCAAGCACCACATTTCCCTTATTTAATATCGTAATATCGAAAATAACGGCGTGTAAACAAATATGTATAATCACGTTGTTCTGTGTAAATTTGAAAATGGGACGTGTACATTATCATCTAGATTGTTTCAACTTATATCTTATCCAGTGTTAATTTGGTAAACTTTCTCAATACCAATTTGCTGATGAAAACTTTGTATGAAACAGAAGGAGCTTAGACTCTAATTAGACTCGGGAGTATAGACTGCCAAAAAGGGCATGCTAAGTTTCCTTAAAAAACGATATTTTTAATTGGGTCGTATAAAAGTTTTTACATTAATTAAACGGAATTAAAACTCGTTTTACTAAAACAAAAAGTTGTAGTTGTTAAAAAAAGATTCCCTATATTAAAAGAAAAAAGTAATCCTGAAATCAAATTCAATTTTGCACACTAAATCGTGAGCTAAAAATAGTTAGTTTTGAGAATATGAAATATATCTTAATTATATAACTCAAAGGTGACTGACTGACATAGTGATCTATCAACTGGACGGATCGGGCCGAAATTTGGCATGCGAGTAGATGTTATAACGTAGGTATCTGCTAAGAAAGGATTTTGATCAATTCTACCCCCAAGAGGATAAAATAGGGGATGAAAGTTTGTATGAAACTTTGTAAATTTTAAATCGATCAGGCTGAGACTTTACATGCATAAAGCTGCTATGATGTAGGCATCCCCTAAGAAAGGATTTTGATAAATTCCACCCCTAAGGGTATAAAGTAGGGGATGAAAGTTTCTATAAATCTTCTTAGATATAGATTTTCGACTTATTGAACTGGAATTAAAGATTGGAGCTACTATGTTGAAGACGTCCGCTTAAATAGGATGTTGATAAATTGGGGATAAAATAAGAGATGATGGAGGATGTAAATGTATTAGTACTTAAACCTATCAGTACTTAAATATTCTTATGAAATGCTGCTTATAGTAACTTTACCACGCGGAGAAAGTCGCGGGCAAAAGCTAGTACTTATAATAAAGCTGAAGAGTTTGTTTGAACTCGCTAATCTCAGGAACTACTGATACGAATTGAACCATTTTTCTTGTGTTGAAACTATTCAATAAAATACATATTAATAGATTATTTATCAAGAAAAACTATAGGCTATATAACATCACGCTATGACTAATAGGAGTGGAGCAGCAATGAAAAATGTTGCAAGGATAGAATGGAGGATATTATACTTTTTGAGAGCCTTCCGTGCGCTGAAACGCTGAAAGCTATGCAAAAATCTTGTATTACGAAATTAATCCGCTTTAAAGAATCTAAAAGAAAATCCACGACAGCATATGTCTATCTTATATCTTATCCCAAAAAAGCACATTAAGAAAAGAAGTAGAAGTTCGTATAGGGCATTAAACGTTTCCATAGCAACCATTGTTTACAATTCAATTTGTCATTATATTTCATGTATGATATAAGCTGTTTGTGCAGGATTAAATAATGTTTTGAATAATTAAAATCTCGTAATTAAAAAAACTCTTAATTCTCGTAATTCAACATAATTCAAAAGTGAGGCTCGAAAATTTTCGTCAAAGGTCAGGAAATATCACTAGGGGGGTATGGGGGGCGTAGTAATATATCACGTGTATTTTTTTTTTGTCGTCAAAAATCAAGATTCTTTGTTTTTTTTTTAAATACACGTGATTTGATTGAAGGAGGGAGAGGGTAGTCTTAAACCTCACCATGTATCACCAAGGGGGAGGGGAGAGGTCAAAAAATCTTGAAAAAATATATGATTAATAGACGGCCCCTAACTAAATTCGTTCGATACTTACAAATTGAAGAGATAGTAGAATATCTATTGACAAAATTTTATTTGGCGTAACGCACTTAAAAAACTCTGAAAATGTTAAATTGAGAAAGCAAGAACAAGTTGACCGTTAAGTTGCTATGAGGATCAGTAGTCAAATATCTAAATCCAAGCAAAATAACGACATTATTATTAGGTGAACGACTTTCATAAAAGATTTTTTTAATTCAAAAAAATATTTGTTTGTATTTTTTGTAAGGAGTGTCGATTCTATTGCGCACTAAATTGGAAAGAAGAGCAACTGGACTCTTCCATGAAGACGTGCACGTAATCTACAGAAACACCAGTAGATTTGCCATAATTAGTTCCATCTAATGAGCGGACCTATACCGCACGAGTGGGAACATTGATAAGCTAATGATGGTGATATAAAGGTGGATGCTCACTGGCAGATTTTTAATGAGACAGTACCCTCGGGTTACGTGGGCGAAGTTGCTGGTTACAGCTGGTATATTATATTACTAGAAGTGTATAACTTTTTAAAAGTTTAATATTGACACAGGTACCACGGTGTGCGACAGAATTAGCATTTATTTATAGCGCTTATGCCACTATAAAAGCATAGTATAAATGAAATAATTATACCTAGCCCCTCACTGTGCCTAAAATTTTCGCATTACATCAAATTATGGCATTTTAACTTAATGACATAAAAGTCTATCTTCACAGCTATTCGCACTTCTGTCGTACGATTTTTCCCGATGACGACTTATACATTTTTACCGTCCTTACCCTTATATCTGAATATACTTACGTACTCGCACAATAGTGAAAGTTTCAGTAGAAAATCTGCGATCAGCACGTATTTGGAGATAAGGGTATGAGAAAAGTTGTGCCATTGTTTTATCGCTCGAGGCACTTAGCTAGTTAGCTATATATCATTGGCCCACTTTTCAAAGCACTCTTTTTGGCTCACTTTACTGTGGAATGAAAAGGTCAGAATGAAATCACTTATCTCATTTTTACTTTTAGAGCAACAGTGATTGAAACAGTTTGTATAACTAAATATAAAATAGAAACTGAGAAAGAAAATTCACTTACATATTCCAAATTAAAACATCATATTAAAAGTTCTTTGTTAAAAAGTAGGAAATTAGGTTATAGCTAAAATTAATCAAAGCAGCAATGAATTTTTAGATATGGAGCTCTATTTTAGGAACATTCAGCTACCACCAACCATTCCTTTACTCTAAATTGTAGCCTGTACCAACCCGCACATGATGTAGCTTTTCCGTTGGTGAAAGAATACTGGTACTTGCGGAATATTTAAATAAATAATATTAAAAAGGATATCAGGCGCTTACAGCAAACATATTTGAAACATCAAGACGTTATCACGTGATGACAATATTTCAGGTATATGACGCTTAAGTGTACATGAAACCAGTATTACCAATCCTACTGTCTTAACAGTAGATTTGCTGTTTTCAAAATTGGGCATCACGCGCCTGTTTTCTGTTTCATTACTATTTTTTTACTATTATTCAATTAGAGTTGAGAGCCACCTATTATAATCTATGCAAATATAATCCGAAATAACCACATAAAGGCATATGAATAAATTCAACTAAACTATTAGTGATTTTATAAACGAAATTTTGACAGAAAATACAGAAAATGAGGTAATGGAGAATGAAAATGAAAATAATTTAGTCTTTCTTTTATTTTGTGATAAATATAATAATAAGAGGTTGGGAAAAAAATCGCATTTTATATGAAAATTCAATTCATTTTTTATAAAGTTTACTTACATTAAACTAAAGTATGTAAGTACCATTTTGTTCGATAACTTTTTGCCATCTTGAAAGTGGCATGATCCCATTGCTATAGAAATTTTCAGGCTTCTGATCAAACAACTGCGACAAGTAGCTTTAGCAATCCTCGCAGTCCTCGCAGTCCTCGCGTGATGTTAACCTGAAACATGGAAATCTGAAGGTGCAAGATGGATGCATTAACATCTCCTTGCCAAACTCTTAATTTTTGCTAAGTGGCGTCAAAGATGTGTAATGTCTGGCGTTATCATGATGAAAAACCACAGTCATTCTTTTGATGAATTGTGGCCGCTTTCTCTCAACTTCTTGATTTATTCTCATCAGTTGTTCGCAGTAGAGTTCAGAATCGATGGTCCTGCCTGACGGTAATAGCTCATAATGAATAATGCCCTTCCAATACCATCATACACACAAAATCACCTTGTTGCGAAGTAACCCGGGTTTTTCCAAAGTCTGTGAAGCCTGACCGACCTTTGACCACGACCATTTCGCATGGTCTTGGGGTATGTGATCCACTTTTCATCACCAGGTATTAGCTTCCAAAAATGGTTCGGTTTCATTACGCCGTAATAAAGAATCACAAATACGTGTACTTATTTTACGTTCATTAGGTTTCTTTCAATGAGCTCGTGAGGTACCCAAATATCCAACTTTTTTGTCTATCCAGATTTTTCAAATGCGCCATAATTGTTTTGTGGTCAATCCCCAGTTCTTCAGCTATATTGTAAGTACTGATTGCTCTTGCTCCACAATTTTAAAAATGGCATATTTTATCCGTAATAGAGTAACCGGAGCGACATGTATCTTTGACATAAAATTTCCGAACTGAGAACGCTTAAACTAAATTTGTGCTACTCTCACAGAAACTAAGTTC